ACGCTTTCTTTAACCATCCTTTTCCGGCTGATATACCTGTAGAATCCCTTCTTATTATTCTTTGCATCCCTAGCCAAGTTTAGCTCCAGCTGCGCCTTGGCCTTCCTGACCCCATTCCTACACAACCGGGGCGTGTCCCTGTACTCGTCCCAGGATGCCTGTCCCTGCTTCCCCTGCCTGTGCAGTTCCCTCTTCCTCCTTAGTTTGACCAGCATCTCTTGTCTCAGCCATGCCGGTCTCTTCCCTTCTTTGCCCGATTTCTTACACCTAGGGATCGAGAGGTCTTGTGCTCTGTGGATCACAAGAAGAAGAACGCAGCTGGAGACTGACACGCACTGGCAACATAAAATTTTTATTAGAAATGACCCAAGAAGGCTTCCTTGTGGGCTAACAGCCCCAGCACCCACCATCTCCAGCTGTTGCCATTACACGTTCTCCCTTGAGACAGTGAATCAAGTCGAGAGCCACAGTCACAGCAGCATAAAGATGTCCTGGATGATGCACCAGGAGAGCAGGGAGCTCTCAGCCTTCAGCCTGCCCGTCACCACAAATACAGATGATGTTTTTAGAGAGCCACATTGAAAAAGACTGAGGTTTCCTCCAATCTACACATTCCCAAGATAAAGGTAGTTTCACGGCTGGAGCTCTCCCACATCAACTCATCTCCCAGACTGGGTTGAAATAATTTATTTCTGAATTTTAAGATGCCAGCAGACATCATCATTACTCGAGTATCTCTGCAAAAATGAAGTGCATAACCCAATGGCAGAAACTTTTGAAAGTGCTCAAAGAGATGTGCTTTGATGGTAGCTGAGAAGCCACTGTCAAAGGGATGTCATTTTGGGACCCTTGGAGACCGAAAGGAGCCCCAGGCCCATCACAAGCTTTGACCTAGGTTTCACACTACGGCCGGTGCACAGTCAATCATGCAAAACCTTCACCTCGCACACAGATGTCCTGGGACAGATGCTAAGATTAAGCCTAGACAGTCTCAGAAGTTACCCTGTGCCTTAGAAAATTCATGGATGGGGTTGCCTGGTTTAGTGTCACTGGGCAGAGTATGGACTACAACTGGGTAATGCACCGAGGCTTACTGGTGACAACAGGACAAGAACAGGAGTGCTTCCATTTCAGCACCAGCACTCGGTAAGTGCCACCAACATGCCTACGGCAACCCAAAAAGTCGTTAACACCAGCCCAGAACTACCCAGAAACCAAAAGCCTCTCTCTCAATCTACCACTTCTCTGTAGCCACGATGGAAACCTCTGCGAGACTCTGCAGTGGCAAGATGCTCTGCACTGGGATCACAACCTGCCTTCCTCGCCATTTTAAATACTTAAAAACATGTTTTAAGCCTCACTGCTCTTTTTAAGCAACAGCAAATATTTGAGATCAAAAATTAATTACACCACGTCTCTGTACCCCCTGCTGCAAGTGAAAAACCTCTTATTCAGGTGTCTTACAGAGGTTTTGCTGCAAATCCTGGGGAAAAAAAAAAAAACAAACCAAAAAAAACCAAAACAACAACTCAGGACACAGCCCAGGAGTTAACCACTGAAAAAATATAATGGATTCAAAGGACACAACTTCTGCCAAGCCTCTGGCCAGATCAACCCATGCTCACAGTTCATTTAAAAGACAGACCTTTACGCACGTTTCGTACAATATTAACACATGATCTCCCTGCATCAGCTGGCAGCTACCACGGGCTGCGGTTCACTGTGTTTCTGCATGCAGTTTCTACAACATACCCAGGCATCTTCCACCACGACTGACCCCCAGCAACAGCTCCTGCCCACCAGCAGCGCTTGCAGGAGCCTAACAGCACCTTCAAGTGCTTTCTGCAGCAAGCTGCCACACAGCAGAGGTGATGAGAGCTGGCGTCTCATATCCAAGCTCATCCCTGGAGATGGCATGAGCAAACCTGTGGTCCACTGGGGAGAAGCAGCCCTTCAAGCTCATCTCCCTTTACCTCCTCCCACTGAACAGGCACACACAACCTCATCGATGACCTGCATTTCTAACCCCACAATGTTTTCCTGTTGCCATCACACCTAGGCAGCAGCTTCTGGTGCACAGAGAGGTAGAATTACTTACTTAGTCCAAGGTCTTTGAATTCTGGAAGACTTGCTGAGGCACAAAGCTGATAGAAGATGTGGTAGTTGCGCTCATCCTCTGCCTATGGGGAAAACGCTGAGTTACCAGAGGCACAAAGAGGTTACAGCAGTGCTCCCACCCTCAGTCCAGTGCCTGCCGAGCCCAGGGCCATCTTGACCCCATTCCTTGCTTCCCACCATCAAGACCCCCTTGGTGCCACCAAGACAACAGGGACCTTGTGCCACCTGGAAAAAAGGGGGTGCCAAGCCTTGCCCTGACCGAAGTACATTGCCCATCTTGCAAATGAAATAACTAACTTTATATTACCTTCCAAAACCTTATCGCTCTCTGGGATAATTGGGCTAAGTTAACTAGGAAGCACCACACTGCAAACCAACAACAACATTAACAGAGGTGGTCTCCACTCGTGGCTTCCCAACGTTGTTTGGTTTTAGGATTTTTGTAGTTGGGGTTTTTTTGATGGAAGGACAAAAGTTTTGCAGATGCTTCCAAGTTAGATATCAAGCACCAAAAAAGAAAGCTTGTCCTGAGCCCTGCACAAGAAACCCACAGGACGTGCTGCAGCACAGACATCAGCCTCCTCAGCCTTTCTCCTGCCTCTCCTCCATCTTCAAAACAAAAGACTGTTGCCTGCAATTTATTCTTCCTGGCTTTTTAAGAGGTTCAGTAAAAATCTCAGCAGCTGCCCAGAGAAAGGCTTTCCACCCCTGCCCAGCAGCCAGGCCAGATGGCTGGAGAGAGGTGGCTCCAGGCTCAAGGTGGATTGTTCTCTCCACCTCAGGGCTCCAGGTACATATTCCTCCAGGATGAGGTCACCAGGTTGGGACCATCAAGAACAAATGCAAAAAACTGAGCCTAAAAGACACATCTGGAAGCTGTGTCCACCAGGAAAGCTAATTTTTTTTTTAAAGCCATTTTTTCAATCCAAAGACCCAGACTATTAAATTGCCAGAGTACAGCACCCAAAAGAAAAGAAAATCACGACTCCTCACCTGGAATACAACTCGTGATTTTTCCAACAAATATGTCCTCATGTTGGCACCAATAATGTGGTATCTTTTATCAAAGCCAATCTGAATGTATTTCCCAAAGCGACTGCTGTTGTCGTTCCTTGTTGTTTTGGCATTTCCGATTGCCTGCATAAAACAAAGTTAAACATTAATTTTTACATTTAATTTTTTTAATTTTTTTTAATGTTTAAATTCATAATCAGTGTTACATAAATAGTCATGGGAGGATTTGAGGAAAACCCCTTCCCAGAAGCAGAAGGCAGAGCAATGACGTGACTTTGGGGAGGACTCGTACTGTACAAATACTCATTTCTGTTTCTATGCGGTTTTCTTCCGTAAAAATGCTGGAAACACCGTATTTTCAGTAATTAGACCATCTACATCCCAACAGCCACAGCACTCCTATTTTGCCTTATAGGAAGCCCCCACCTTCGTTCACCAAAAGTCAACATCAGCAGCTCTCCTGGAGGGTACGTGGGTGACAAAGCCCTGTGAGAGGGAGGGGAACCAGCTGCATTCCATCTCCAGAAGTTCAGGCTTCATTCCATGGATTTGGTGTCACGCCCAGAGGCCCTCCAAGCCTCTTCAGGGCCTACCTGGCATCTCCTGAACAGGTAATGCTGCCACACACAGTGGCAGAAGGGAGAGAAGAGAATCCAGCCCATGTGCAAATGTCAGGGGTGCAGCACTGCAAAGGCGGGAATCCCTCAAGCAACCAAAGAAGCAATTTGTGATGATGCAAGAGGACCAAAGAAAGACAGTATTCCCATTCATGGCTACACTAGCCTCATTTTCTACTACCCTTCCCCTGCCATGCAATAAGCCTCAAGCAAGCACAGGAAAAGTGATTGAAGGGGATAGGCACGTACAGAAAAGAGCCCTTGTACACCTCTCTAAGGCTGGCTGCCTTTCCCAGACCACCTCAGCAAGCCCTACCTGCTCCCTGCCCCATCCATCCACCACCGACCCAATTCCTCTGCTAGCTAACGCACCTCTTTCCCCCCAAGCCCATTTATGTACCCCTTTCCTGCAACTCACCCATCCCCATCGCTTACAGCGCTCCCAGACCCACAGCCCCCACTTCCCACCTCCAGTCCTCCAGCATGCATCCCAGAACATACATAAAAGCAACAGGGCAGAGGCACAGCACACATTCTCCATTTCTGCCCAGAGCCCAACACCCATCCCCCAGGGAAATACAAGGTTCACAAACTGCGATAGCAAACGCTACAACTGGATATTTTACAATCCAGAATTACCAGCATCACCTTATCTTCAATTCCTTGTCTATAAAGTAGAGATACCTGCCCCGGGGACATTATGTCCCATACATCAAACACTGTGCACCTCATTGCTAAGGGCTATTTCATGACACGCACATCCATCTACTCCATCTTCACACTTAAACTTTGGGTTTTTTGCAAACCAGGCAGTTCTCTTTATGGTTTTTGCATGAGCAACGTTCTCAGCAATTTCCAATACAGACAGACAGGTTCCCTGGCCCCAGCACTTAGAAATTACATCCAGAACTGAACACAGGCAAGAAAATTAGAGCAATAAAACTATGGGGTCATATAGAAGAATAGCACGCACTATGAAGTTTTCCTTGGGTGCTTTTAAGTGTTCTCAGGTATTGCAGCTACATTTCACAGAGGCACAGGAGATGGGTGAGGAAAGGAGTAAAACAGCACGAAGCCCACGCTGCGGCAGATCGAGTGTCCTCTGCCAGCCGTACAATTTCATGGTTTTTCATACTGCTCATCTGCACCATCATCACGTGCTTTACCATTCCAGCTTGCACCCACGTCAGGCAGCATGATGCTAGACCATGCGTACTGCCTCTCAGGCTGGGGTGGCCTTGGTTTTCATCCTGGATCAGCTACCATCTCCGTGTCTATTAGACAATGTGGCCATGAGGCACCATGATAGGAAGCCTCCCTGCAGGTTAAGCCAAGCCTAAGTTTAAGCACTATGCTCCACTACAGCGGCACTGCTAGCTCCTGCCTTTAAAAGAAAGTCACACAAAGTGCCTAACTGACTTTGGAAAAGCTCAAACCTCCTCTTCATACCAACTTGGGTATTTTGCAAATGAAGGACTCCAAAATCTGTTTGGAAAATGGGATTTAGGCACTCAGACATTTATTTTCACCATCTGGTCATGGTGCACTGAAACAAAGCAGCTTTCCATTTCTTCTATATTTGTAAAAGGAAATTTCCCTATAATGGGACTTGTTATTCTCCTATAGGATTGATAGCAACAGAAAATTAACAAAAATAAAACTGCACCAAAATACCTCAAATAGATTAAGTAATCACTTTCTCTTCTATTTCATGCCTATACCACAATGCGGTGGCAAGAGGAGGAGGAAGATGAAGATGATAAAATACTAATGGTGCCAACAGCACCACTCAGGCTCTCCGCTCCAGAGCCCTGGTCAAAGCCCAGCTCTGGGAGCCGCGCTGGGGATGCATGAGCTCAGCTTCAACACCATCGGAGGAGCAACTGGGGTGGGCTAAGTGGAGGCTATCAGTGCATTTCTGCATTTTCAGTCCAGCTCAGGACTGCTGTGAGGCTGCAGATCAGGTCTGGCTCACAAGCCCCTACAGCTCTCACTGTTTTTGTGACTTTGGGAGAGACGCAGTGATCGCTGCAAGAAGGACAAAGGAAATTACGCAGCTTTTACCTCCATAATCGGGCTTGACGCAAGGACTTTGGCTTCAATGTTGGTCTCACTGGCAGAACCACCAACGGTTGCAAAGAAGCGCATGGCATATTTGGCGGAGACCGTCTTTCCAGCACCCGACTCCCCGCTCACGATGATGGACTGGTTCTTCTCATCCCTGTTGCGGCAGAGAAGAAAGGTTTTTGTAAGGTAATCCATTTTCTTGTTAAAGTTCATTTGCATCACACAACAGTCTTCCATCTTCACACATCTACGTCTCCCTCGCCTTGCTACCACCTACATTATGGATGCTGGATTTATTCTGGACTCTATCGAAATAACGGTGAATAATATACAATTGTGATAAACCTCAGCTAAAACATAAAGGACGCACTGAACATCTCCAGAACATCTCCAAGGGCTTGCAGAGACAGGAGGAGATGAACCCCTGCGTGAAATGCTGCTGCTGCTTTCTTCACCCCTGGAGCACATAGCCCAGCATAGGGAAGCCCATTCCTTACACACCACAATAACAAACCTCTGCTGCTTGACATTTGCCTGAAGAACTATTAACAGGCATTGGCTGAATATCAGCTTCTAATATTATATCTTTATTTCCACACACCCCCGCCCCCAACACCTTCATTCAAGCATTTCAGGTTGTGCTCAACAAAATACAGGTAATTTGTTGTGAAACTTGCTCAAGTAGCCTGTTGCTGAGCTATTAAAACATAGATACCCAGAAAGGTTCCTCTACGCTCAAAATATGTTAAAAATATTGAAGTTGTGACATCAAGAACCCTAAAATTAGGAAATAGCAGAAGTCACCCGATTCCCTATGCAATCAGTATTTTCACGCATATCCCGACATCTGGTTAAAATTTTGACAGCAGCAACACAAAGCACATCTCTGACATCAGACTGGCACCATCTGTTCCTCCCCAAATCCTGTCAAATTGTAAGTCACTGCTCCAAAGTGCAGAGGTACTTCTGGGACCACAAAAAAGACGATAAAGAGTTTAAAAGCAATTCCTGGTAGACATCGCTAAGTAAAGTTTGTTCAGCTCCTGAAGCTTTGCAAAACAAAGTAGTTTTTAAGAAGTACTCGCGTCCAGCTCTGGAGCCCTCAGCACAAGAAGGACATGGAAGTGTTGGAGCGGG